TGGTTAACGTGATCATCATCATCAGTATTGTCATCAGCTTAGTCATATAAGCATCATCATTATCGCTAACCTAATAATTAAATCTGTTATTTAATCTACAGGCTGCTCAAAATCGAAAGGCATGATGGCAATCAAAGCGTATGAGAAACAGTGTAGAGGCAGGCAGTCGATAAGGCATAAGATCATAACAGTATAGCTGCAATGTAAGTACTCCGATAACCCCAGACAATGGGCATTCCAGAGTTGAAAAATTGGTAAGCAAAGGAATTTCGAAGAGGTCAATTGCGGTTTTCGTGAGTTTCTGTGTACTTCTGCAGCTACGTCTACCGCATGGGCAAAGTAGAATCACCAGTTGCATATTTTGTAAAGCTGAGGATGATAAGAAGGAGTAAAGAATTTTTTTAATATAATAAGTGGCTAACAAAACTAGTTGTGTTACCAATGTACTGGACTGGAAAAATAGCCGACAAACTGATATCGTATGGCAATGTTTTTTGAAGATACAGTTTTTAAAAAAAGGAATATGACCGTGCAGGACGTTAAAATTGGTAAAGAAAAAAGATATATATCATTTTTTTTAAGGCAAATACAAAACAATATTCTCAAATATTCCAAATTGCAAATATTTCAAAACAAATGACTCCAGTCCTTGATATATAGTCACCACAGTTTTAATGAATCGATTAATTACCGTTACCGAATTATGCACTGCTGCTTTATTTATTAGCCATGACCTGAAGATTTGTGTGGATTCATTACCATATCCCTCTTTATAAAAGGATATGAATCGAAGTAGAAATTGCGTTCTCAATCCTGATAATTGTGCAGAGTTTCACTGCATTCTGACCGCTGCTCTCTGGGGCTAAAATTTTACGCACTGTTTGATCTTGGGACTGTTTCAATCACTGAAGTTTCGTGTTTTGTTATTAAGATATTGTAAAAATCTTGAAATTTACATCAGTCTTTTTTTTCTCTCCTTATTAAATATTTCAAAAAAATGTCAAAAATATAAAAATGATGTAAATAATTATTTTTACTAAAGTGGTGGCAAGAATATTTGAGCCCACAGTAATGGCTAGAAATAATGTAGGTAGCACTACTCAATATTTTTAAATCTCGTTCGCAATACTAAGCCTAGCATAAAAAGTGACTTACTGAATATCTTAACATATTTTTAATATTTTAAATACAAAATTGGTATATGGAACTCGATATATTTGCAATTATTTTATTCTAAATTCTTTAATAGATTTAGAACTTTGCTCTAATTAATTTGATAAAATTGTGATTAAATTAATAAATTACTACAACTTTTTCTTCTTTAAAATTCTTATATTTAACTTTAATTTAGGATTAAATTTTTCATCTTTGTTAGCCTTGTTACCATGAACTAATCAAATTCAGTATTTTATAAAAAATTTTTTGTGCTGCAAAACGTATTTTTCAATTAATAGTTTTAATAGAACGAAATTATTTTTATCAAATTCAAAACTTTCTCTTAACTTTATCAACTTAAAAGTCATATTGCATTGCGGCTTTTAATTAGAGACAACAGACCCAGAGAAGATGGAATACTGCGAGTTTTGCTCGCGGCGCAAAACACTCAAAAATATAAAATTTCCACCAAAACAAGTAAATTCTGTTGCTGAAAACAAAAATACACTTTAATTAGTTTTTAAGTGAATTATAAAGTATTTTCAAGTTTTATTTTCATGCCAAAATTTTGACACAGTTTCTTGTCTCTCGAAGGCGAAGCCAAAGGCAAAGCCTTCTTTAAACAATTTCACATATTGCATTATTTTAAACGTTCAAGCCAACAATGCTAACTCATTTTACCAAATTTCCATCACATTTTCATTATAAAATTTTAATTTTTTTTTTCTTCTTCAATCTACAAATATTTTTATTTATTTTTCTTCTAATACTCGTGCATTTTCTTCATAATTTCTTAATGAAGAGCGTAGATGCATTTTGTCGCTATAAAAATCTTTGGAAACTCTAACGAAAATATGATTTCATCATTTTATAAAATTAAAATAACTTTTAAGAGTTTTTGTGTGTACTTCTGCACTTTGTCGTTTTTCTAGTCAGGATTTTTTAGTGCTTCTGTATACGCGGAAGCAAGGAACAACCAGAAACTTTTATGTTTTCTCACAATTTAACGCAGATAATGGCTTTCGCAAATAGACTCGTGTGCATGTGTGCCAGAACCATAACCAGAACCAGCGCCAGTGCCAGTTCTGGTGCTGGTGGTAATGCCTCGTAGTATGTGTGCTGTTCCATATTATATCCGTTTTCATTTAAGCCAAGTTAGTAAGTATCTTCGGTAAAACATTTACCATTTATAGCAACATTTAGCGCTTCGCTGCTGGGGTATTGCTTTCGCGCACTGTCCCTCGACTCATTCTTTTCAGTTCAGTTAGTAAGGACACTCGTAAAACTATTAAAACTTTTTCTGGAATTTCTCAGCGTATCTTCCGGATTAGACAAAACTTTAAAACTTCTTACTTCGTACCAAAATCGCAAAAACATAAATAGTTTTTTGCTTGCAATAAACTTGTTGCGAACAAGCACGGGAGCAAGAACAGAACAATTTCATATTAATATCGAATAAGCGTAGTTTTTGCAAAGGAAAGTACTTTGCAAATGTGGAAAAGTGGAAAAAGTGAAAATGGTGAAAAGTAAGTGAAAACTATGTAAAATCTATATTGAGAATCTGTAACATCTGCTAAACACAACAACAAACCAAACAAATTACAGGACACGAAATGATAAAATCTTAACTATTTCGAAAATATTTATTGCTCTTTTTAATTCACTTTCACCTCGACTGACTTGTGGACTTTGTATAAAAATTTGTACTAAAAAGTACCACTGAAATGTTATTGATTTAAAATTAGTTCTGATTTTGAAAAGCACATATTATTTTTAAAAATGATATAGTCAAAATAAGTAAATTAGTCAGCATATGACTAGTACTAATTGGCGTTCGATAATAATTAAGTATAATTGATATGACAATTTAACAGGGATTAACTAATTAACTTATTTTAAACATTTCAAACAATTCTAAACTTTTCTTTTTATTTTTATTAATAATTTTAGTTATGTTTACTAAGATAAAATTTTTGACATATTAGTCTTAGTATTTATTAAAAGTTTTAAAGATTATAAAACTGATATTGCTTTGACGTAAGAAAAGAGTTTAGATTAAAGTCCATAATAAATTATATGCAAATCCTCACTACTCTTTGTACAGGCACAACTTATGATTTTTTTAACATAATCCTTATAAACATCACCTGCTGTGATGAACAGAATATTTTTGAAGCCAAGCTTGCTGTTAATGCCTACTGTTAATGCTAACTGTTTATGTTATGAGCCAAAGCAATGCTGTCCAGACCAGATAAGCAAGCGAGCCTATACAAGCGAGGACCTCAGAAATAAATACATAATAAAGGCATAATAAATAATTTTTCAGAAAACAAATATTAATAAAAATATTATTGTATCTTTTATATTTCTATCACTATAAGCTTTATTAATATTAGTTGTTGCCTTACATATACAAAATTAAGGAATAGTAAAACCCAACATTATAGGTTATAATGCCTGGAGTACAGAATGCTAGCGCACGAAATTAGTTCGGTTAGTAACAATAGCTTGGATTTTATTTTCATTTTTTACATAATTTATGTAAAAAAAGTACTTTACGTATATTTTTTCTAAACACATAAGTAAGAAGTAAAAGTGATAATATTGAAAATATTAGAACTTTAAACAATAACAGACGATTACGAAGTGGTACAAGCCAAGTTTCTAAGTTCCAATATTTGAAGTATAAAACGATACACGATACGTAGAATTGGATGAGCCAAATGCAAAAAGTCCGGTTAGTGCTCTATCAACTTGATCACTCCACCGAAACACAATCTTCCTCCAACTACAGAAAAACCGCCAAACGTTATTTCACTGTATTATATCCATGTCGTGATAAAGATCGTACAGCTTATAGTTTATTCAGATGTGGTAGCGGACGCCAACTCATAGAGGACCAAAAATATTTTAAAAAAACTTTTCTTTCTCACAATGCTAATTCGTCATTCTGTGATAACGTCTATGCTTCTACGTCATACAGAAGCGCAGCTTGGATAAGAGACGTATAGAGCTTAAGTTTTATTTCTCAAGAGAGAGCTCTACAACCTAATTGTAGCTTGGCATCCGAGCGTCGCATATTTCTAACAGTAGTCGATGCTACCTTGACAGAGCAAGAGGTATTTTGCTTAACATCATTCTGCATAGTCGTATTAATTTTGCAGGGATACCAAGCTCAGACACTACCGTACAAACGCGAACCCTTATGGGGCTATGAAAGCTGCTTTGTAATCGATGAGCACAGCATCTGTAGTACATAGATAGTTTATTGCTATAGTTGTAACCAGTAATCAGTTAACTCTAATACCATAGAGGAAGTTTCGTCATTATTAAAACAAATTTTGCAATATTTATATAAAATAAATATTTACCCACTGAACTATATTAGAATGAGAAAAAAATGCATTGTTCATATCCTTAAATGCAGTTCATATCCTAACCGGCAATATCGGAAAAATGTTTAATACATAACCAAGATATAGATACGGGTCTAAGTTGATTTTATAGCTGCCATATAAACTGGTAATTCCGTTACAGGTTTTTAATAAGAAAAACCTTTTTGGTTGTTTGTTATGTACTTCAGATACGAAACTTAAATATAATTTGATAATGCAACCTATGCAATATAACTCGCAAATAAACTTCTAACATGTAACATGCCTTTCTTCGTAATACTTTCTTATTTCATGAAATATATATTACCATATAAATAAGACCTCAATGAAGGTTAAAAATTACTCGTGAAGGCTATCTAAGCAGAGGCCAAGCCAAAGCCAACATCTGTACTAGTGATGTTCTCGTTTAGTATTACTTAAGTAAATAAAATTCTTTGTTTTGAATTTTGTTCGTATTGGTTCTGATTTTATTTTAAAAATTTAATCTATTTAAATTTTGACGGCGGATAATTTCATATAATTTACAAGTCCGAAAATGTGAAGGGAATTCAAAATATATTTATGTTGCTTTCAATTTAATTAAACGGTGCAAATGCTGGCATGTGGAAGAGTGGTTTGAATGGTTTAAATTCATGACAATCTGCGCCACTGCACTGTGATTGACTTTGAGTGCCGGAACCAGATTGACTCTGACTTTGTGAGCCACTTCCGCTAGTTTGACTCTGGCAACCAGATCCAGTCTGAGTTTGACTTTGTTTGCCATCAGAAGAGGTTTGGGTATGTGTACCTGTTGAGTCTGAGCAATCGGTTTTAACAACAAAGTCATTGACGGCTGCAGCTACAGTTGGCGCAGTGCTAGAGACTGCAACAATGCTTGAGGCGGCGACAGTTGTGCTTGGTTCCTCAGTGGTGTCATCAGTTGTTTCAACCGTTGTGCCAACTGTTGTATCGTCGGTTGTAAGGCCATATTGTAAGCAATAATCTAGGAGATCATATGTCGATGCAGTGTCGGAAACATATGTACGTTGAGTAGCGTTCGTGCATTGACTTTCTTCATTTTGAATCTCTTCCAAACCTTGGTTCAAGGTATTGGCAGCAATAGCAGCATTGCTTGAGATATCATACATTTGTGATACATCAGCCTTGGACTGAAAAATTAAATAAAATTCTTTTTAAATTATGTATATAAAATAATTATTAAAGTTTTAACTCACCGCAGATGCATAGCAATTGAATGAATCAAGTATATCTGTGTCGTTATCGCAAACCTGGAAGGCGGTACAAATAGCTTGAGTCTCTTGAGAGAATGTTGTCTTGCTAGCTGCGGCCTGATTTGTCAGATTTAATGTACGTTGTTCAGCTGTTGTAACGCAAGCCTGGTACTGTACGGAATAGGTGTTAGCAATTTCCGACAAGATTGGTAAGTATTTGTTGAAACATGCTGCTGAGAGAGCGGGATCAGTATTGGCAAATACACTTGGTTGCACTAAGTAATCAGAGAGCGATTTTTGCAAGTTGGCTTGTGCCAAAGCCGCAACAGGATTGCACTAAAAAAAATTATTCCAATTTGTAAATTAATATTTTAATTGAAATGAAAATGAATTTCTTTAATATTATATAAATTAATTACATTCACACTTGCAGCGCCTAAGAGCACCAAGAAAAGAAAACCGTAAATGTATTTCATGATTTTAATAAATTATATCGCGTTGCCGTTCGTTTCGTAACTAACGAAAATTATAATTATCTTTGGCCTTTTATAGTATTAAATATTAATAAAAAAAAATTAATTAATTTTTAATTGATTAATTTGTAGTACTGTGATTTTTTTCTTTTTCAACAAAATGTGCTACTATGAAATCCCTTCGATATTATAAAAAAACTGCTAATTCTGATAAGTTTTTGATAAGAACTCACATGAATTTACATAGCAAAGAAAATTTGCATTAGTTATTTGCAAATATATCGGCAGGTGGGATTCAACTACTCATTACGTAGTTGAATTTTATCGAACATTCTACACAAACTGATACAATCGACTATTAATAGGCCAATATATGTAAAAATAAATTCATATTTTTTATGTTTATTCTATTATCTTAAGTAGTAACCAAATAAATACAAGCAATTATCGATATGTTGACTATGGATACGAAAGACAAGGTAAACATAGGCCAATAACCTATGTAAGTAATAACCAAAAAATGTAGATAAAGTATTATATATTGCCTTGGCCCTATTAAGTATTTAAATATTTGATATTATCTGATTTTTGTAAAAGAAAATATTTGATATATTAAAGGTTTAAAGTCTTGAAATTATATATCAAAAGAAAATTTATTTACAGGCGGAGTTATCTTGGTATTTCCACAGTGATTCAATTATATTATTTATTATGACTTAGATTTTAAGCCTTAATAAAGATTTTATTTCCACGAATTTAGTGATTGATAAAGAACATGTGAGAAACACTTTTGATAAATTATTTATAGAAAAATGCTATATGTCTCCAATGTTCCGTAAGAAGTACATGTGTACATGTAAAATCACTTAAAAAATGTACACAAATCAATTATATTTTTGTGAAAGAAGAACAATTCTTTACAGTCATTTATATCAGCAGGAATGTAAAGAATTTATTAATATAATTTATTATTAATGGAAATAGTTATTTATTAATTTCCAAAAAATTACTTTGGCCTGTGTATGATGACGAAGCTTTTTGCAAAACTCTAAAGATAGAGTATGCGTAAGGCATACATGGTTTCTAAGGCTTTTTGTTTGGTAATGAATATGTCACGAATTGTACTTAATAGAACAATTTATAATCACTAAGATTTCGTGGAAATAAAATCTTTATTAGCTTAAAATCTAAGCAAATGTTAAATATTTAATTGACATCACTATGTGGAATACCAGATAACTCCGCCTGTTAAATAAATTTTCATTTGATATATAATTTCAAGACTTTAACATTTAATATATCAAATATTTTCTTATCAAAATCAGAATAATATCAAATATTGAAGACTTAATAAGGGCCAAGACAATACTATAATACTTTATCTACATTTTTTGGTTATTACTTACATAGGTTATTGGCCTATGTTTACCTTGTCTTTCGTATCCATAGTCAACATATCGATAATTGCTTGTATTTATTTGGTTACTACTTAAGATAATAGAATAAACATAAAAAATATGAATTTATTTTTACATATATTGGCCTATTAATAGTCGATTGTATCAGTTTGTGTAGAATGTTCGATAAAATTCAACTACGTAATGAGTAGTTGAATCCCACCTGCCGATATATTTGCAAATAACTAATGCAAATTTTCTTTGCTATGTAAATTCATGTGAGTTCTTATCAAAAACTTATCAGAATTAGCAGTTTTTTTATAATATCGAAGGGATTTCATAGTAGCACATTTTGTTGAAAAAGAAAAAAATCACAGTACTACAAATTAATCAATTAAAAATTAATTAATTTTTTTTTATTAATATTTAATACTATAAAAGGCCAAAGATAATTATAATTTTCGTTAGTTACGAAACGAACGGCAACGCGATATAATTTATTAAAATCATGAAATACATTTACGGTTTTCTTTTCTTGGTGCTCTTAGGCGCTGCAAGTGTGAATGTAATTAATTTATATAATATTAAAGAAATTCATTTTCATTTCAATTAAAATATTAATTTACAAATTGGAATAATTTCTTTTAGTGCAATCCTGTTGCAGCTTTGGCACAAGCCAACTTGCAAAAATCGCTCTCTGATTACTTAGTGCAACCAAGTGTATTCGCCAATACTGATCCCGCTCTCTCAGCAGCATGTTTCAACAAATACTTACCAATCTTGTCGGAAATTGCTAACACCTATTCCGTACAGTACCAGGCTTGCGTTACAACAGCTGAACAACGTACATTAAATTTGACAAATCAGGCCGCAGCTAGCAAGACAACATTCTCTCAAGAGACTCAAGCTATTTGTACCGCCTTCCAGGTTTGCGATAACGACACAGATATACTTGATTCATTCAATTGCTATGCATCTGCGGTGAGTTAAAACTTTAATAATAATTTTATATACATAATTTAAAAAGAATTTTATTTAATTTTTCAGTCCAAGGCTGATGTATCACAAATGTATGATATCGCCAACAATGCTTGTTATTTGCTGCCAATACCTTGAACCAGGTTTTGGAGAGCATTCAAAATGAAGAAGTCAAAATGCAACGAACGCTACTCAACGTACATATGTTTCCGACACTGCATCGACATATGATCTCTAGATATTGCTTACAATATGCCTTACAAACCGACGATACAACAGTTGCACAACGGTTGAAACAACTATGACACCACTGAGGAACCAAGCACAAACTGTCGCCGCCTAAGCATTGTTGGCAGTCTCTAGCACTCGCCAACTGTAGCTGCAGCCGTCAATGACTTTGTTGTTAAAAACCGATTGCTCAGACTCAAAACAGGTACAACATACCAAACTCTTGATGGCAAACAAAGTTCAAACTCAGACTGGATCTGGTTGCCAGAGTCAAACCCTAGCGGAAGTGGCTCACAAGTCAGATTCAATCTGGTTCCGGCACTCAAAGTCAATCACAGTGCAAGTGCGCAGATTTCATGAATTTAAACCATTCAAACCACTCTTCCACATGCCAGCATTTTGCACCGTTAATTAAATTGAAAGGCAACATAAATATATTTTGCATTCCCTTCACATTTCGGACTTGTAAAATTATATGAAATTATCCGCCGTCAAAATTTAAATAGATTAAATTTTTAAAATAAAATCAACCAATACGAACAAAATTCAAAACAACGAATTTTATTTACTTAAGTAATACTAAACGAGAACAGCACTAGCACAGATGTTGGCTTTGGCTTGGCCTCTGCTTAGATAGCCTTCACGAGGAATTTTTAACCTTCATTGAGGTCTTATTTATATGATAATATATATTTCATGAAATAAGAAAGTATTACGAAGAAAGGCATGTTACATGTTAGAAGTTTATTTGCGAGTTATATCTAAATCCATACTGATCAGCCTTATTTATATTGCATAGGTTGCATTATCAAATTATATTTAAGTTTCGTATCTGAAGTACATAACAAACAATCAATAAGGTTTTTCTTATTAAAAACCTGTATCGGAATCACCAGTTTATATGGCAGCTATAAAATCAACTTAGACCCGTATCCATATCTTGGTTATGTATTAAACATTTTCCCGATATTGCCGGTAAGGATATGAACTGCATTTAAGGATATGAACAAGACATTTTTTTCTCATTCTAATATAGTTCAGTGGGTAAATATTTATTTTATACAAATATTGCAAAATTTGTTTTAATAATGACAAAACTTCCTCTATGATATTAGAGTTAACTGATTACTGGTTACAACTATAGCAATAAACTATCTATGTACTACAGATGCTGTGCTCATCGAT